CTTGGAAGGTGAAATCCAATCTCCTTTCCAAGAAGAATCCCCACCATTCAGGCAGGGCACTGGGCACTAAACACATGGAATAATCTCTATAAACACATTGAAATTACAGAGCCTGACTAAAAAAAAAATAGAAATAATCCACATCCTTTGATTCCTTGCAGCATAATTCAAGATAACTTAGAACACTTGGTTTTTAGAGTATCTGCTAAACCACTTGAGACTGAAAAAGTCCAGTGATTGAGACACATCAGGGAAACAAAACTCAAGTCAAATGTCCCTCTCACATCTGACTTCCCATGTTTCTAAGGGTTTAATTTGGGGCAGCTCCATTAAGGATTTACTTACTGATTTACTTCTGGATCAGGTTTTAACCCAAATGACTCCTCATTCTCTTGGGATGCAAGAGAAGAACCCAGCTTTGCTTGGCTTCAGACTGTTGCTTTGTTCACTGCTGTTGCCTGACCCCAAATCCCTGCAGATCCTGTCTTGGAATAAAGCTGGACAGATCTGTTCAATGGACAATTCATCACAATAATTTTTGCCTTGCAGATTTAAAAAGGGGAGGAACCTCTACTTCTTTCACTGTTTTTTTTTTACCCTTCCTGCTGCTGTAAATAGATTCACAGCAATGAGACAATCAGGAGTCCTTACAAATGTAAAGCACTTACCTTTGGTCCTTGCTTTCCTGCCAACTGTTCCATTCCAACCAGGATTCCTGGCAGACTTTTTTCCCCCATTCCCACCTGTTCACACTGTGCAGGCTGTTTCCAGGAGTGTGATGGGCAGGGGGTTGTGGTTTGAGATAAAATTCTTGCTCCAGGTCTGACCAGCACCCCCTGACATGGGTGAGAAGGGGGAAATGACTCTCCAGGCAGATCAACTCTCCTCTTGGTCTGGAATGTTGGTGCTACCACAGCACTGGTCCCTGCTTGGTGGAGGTTTAATGTGAAGGGGGAGGTAAAGTAGAAACAAATGATCCTGATTGCAGAGGGACAACAAATTACCTTTTTTTTTTTTTTTCTGGAAGAAAAGCTTCCCGCTAATGAAAGAAAAGGAGAAGCCATGTTGAACCCCCTCCAGAAGCACCAGGAGGTGAGATGTCTGGGTTGGGAAAGATGGGAAGGAAGATTTTAGCACGTCATCCTTTGCTTCCCCAGCAACAGAAGAAACAACCAGTTGAAAATTACTTTGTACAGGATAATTCCAGCAAACAGCCAAGCTTCCAGGTCTCCTGAAGTCCCAGGAATTTTTGAACCTGGGGGTTACTGGGATGAAAGCAAAGGAGAAGCCATGTTGAACCCCCTCCAGAAGCACCAGGAGGTGAGATGTCTGGGTTGGGAAAGATGGGAAGGAAGATTTTAGCACGTCATCCTTTGCTTCCCCAGCAACAGAAGAAACAACCAGTTGAAAATTACTTTGTACAGGATAATTCCAGCAAACAGCCAAGCTTCCATGTCTCCTGAAGTCCCAGGAATTTTTGAACCTGGGGGTTACTGGGGAAGCAGATGATGTTACTGGGTAAGGTTTGGGCAGCCCCAGAACTGCCCTGGGAAGAATTTCCCAATGAAGAGAGTACAGGGCAGAGATGCTGCTGAAGTTGCTGTTCAGTGTGTTGATTGTCTCATCCAAACCCAGCAGGTCCTTGTCTGCAAATCTTGGAGGTTTGTTTCACTTTGTGCTGGGATTATGAGTCCTGGGCTGTGTCCCTAACTCAGATCCACTGTGTTTCTTAGGGAATTTCATTGAAGCTACATGCAGACCTTATTTGTACAGTAATAATAATTCTGACTCACTTCACAAGGACAGTGGGAGGATTAATGAACAATTCTGAGGCACTACAGAAGTGCTAAACATTATTCATGGCTCCCAAGTTTTCTTCTTTTGGAAACAGTGGCCATTTCTTCCCATAATGTTTTAAACAGTTGCTGCTCCAGGAGCTTAGATTGCAGATTCCTGGCCTGTGGTTTGTCCATAAAT